TAAGAAAAGTTGTTGAGGTAATGCTGAGTTTCTCAGCCTTGAAGTGCACAAAAAGGCACTGTACTTACAGTAGCTGTTAGTTTTTAATTTCTTTTTATTTTGAACAATAGTAAATGTCATTATCACTTCTCACATCATTGTGATATGTGACAGCTTTATTAAACATTGCATTTCATGCCAATATTGTACAGCCCTTATTATGCCATATTGTACCATATCAGGAGTTCATCAGTAAAGAATTTGGCAGCAGTGAAGCTTGGATTGGTCTGACGAACAGCTACACAACAGGTATCTGGAAATGGGTGGACGACTCAGCACTGACCACCGAGTAAGAGATCTCTGAAGTGAACTTTGTTCATGATGCGGTTATTCACTCTCTCTAAGAAGGTCTCGAGGTGTAATACTGAAGATGATCTGATTCTCTGTGTTTCAGGTTCTGGTGGAAGGGGGAACCCAATAATCATCAAAATGATGACTGTGCTATAACTGGCTACAGAAGTGCTGGATCTGGTAGTCTATCAACCTGGGCTGATTATTCCTGCAATCTCCCTGTAGTTTGGATCTGTGAGAAAGGTTTAACTAATTTTTAATTTGGTCTATATATGAGCGCAAACAGCAAGAGATTTTTATACATATTTATAGAAAATAGTATGTAATGGTATATTATAATATATAGTAGTATAGATGATATGGGTTGTTGATGTGGCACGGCATTTTCACTGTCACAAAAAATAAAAGCGAATATACATAGTATAAACATTTATTTAAAAAGCTGTACATGGTTAATCATGTCTGTTTTACATGATCGCGTTGTTATAAAAACTGCTTTGTTATTAGTTTTTTTTTTAAAAATGAGCCAAGTCTAAAAATTGTCCTATGGTGTGACTTGTCTCCAGCATGGTTCATTAACTTTTATAAATTAAAAAGAAAAGCATGAAAAATTTGATGAATACAGCTGACGTAATTTTACAAGTATCAATTTTTGTAAATGACATTTTGTCATCCATATATTTCTAAAGTTGTAGGAACATAATGCATTTTGTCACTGTCCAGAGTGACGCCATGTCCTGATTTTAAGTTGGGCAATTCCACAGAAAAATTCATTTAGTTCATGGAACCCATTCAAAGTCATGTTACTGAGGCCCCCTTTGAAGCACACGACAGGTGCACATCATAGGTTTTTGTCTCAGAATTGTTCAAATATTTACCTTTTCAGAACACTGGAAGTGTTAAGTTTTGTTGTCCTTTGGTGTGCCACCCCTAAATTAATTTTTTAATTAAAAACTATGTTAAACTACATAATTGTGGAAAATTATGCAAAAGTGCCTTGCTAACTGCTAATGACAGGCTAGCTAGGAATAGCATGGTCATTAATTGACACAAAAGGCTGACCCGTCATTTGGTATGACAGAAAATGTCCACTGGTGTGACAAAAGATTTCTTTAATCCTTTTTATTCTTATTTTCAGGATTTTTCAATTCAATAATTACAGTAAATAAAAAATGTCTTGTGCTTTTGCACTGTACTGTTGTAAAGTGTCTTTAAAGTAAGTATAAAATATGATACTCACTCATTTTTAGTGACAAAGAAGTGGGGATTAGCTGTTTACCTCAATGCTGACTAAAAGAAAAACATGCATGTGAAACATTTAATTGGTCTTTTTGTTTAGTAGATGATGTTTGCTTGATTAGGTTCATAACTTTTTTAAAAAATGTGCTAAAAGTTGTCAACAATCACTATTACAATTACAAAACATACACAATATGGACAAAAGTATTGAGACACCCCTGCTAATTACTGAGTTCAGGTGTTTCAGTCTGTTAGTAGAATGGGTCGTACTGAAGAACACAGTGACTTTGAACATGGCACGTATTCTGTGGAGTGACGAATCACGCTTCTCTATCTGGCAGTCTGGTGGATGAGTATAGGTTTGACGAATGCCAGGAGGACGTAATCTGCCTGACTGCACTGTGCCAACTGTAAAGTTTGGTGGAGGAGGGATAATGCTATGGGGTGGTTTTTCAGGGGTTGGCCTAGACCCCTTAGTTCCTGTGAAGGAAAATCTTAATGCTTCAGCAGAACAAGACATTTTTAGAGTTGTACAATTGTATAACTTTTGTGTGAACAGTTTGGGCAAGAACCTTTTCTGTTCCAGCATGACTGAGCCCCAGTGCACAAAGCAAGGCCCATAAAGGCATGGCTGGGTGAGTTTGGTGTGGAAAAACACCTTTGGGATGAACTAGAACAGAGATGGCGAGCCAGGCACACAGACACTCTCCAAAATCTTGTATAAAGCTTCCAAAAAGAGTGGAAGCTGTTATAGCTGCAAAGGGGGACCAACTCCATATTAATGCCTATGGATTTAGAATGGAATGTCCTAAAAGCTCTAGTAGGTGTGATGTGCAGGTGTCTCAAAACTTTATCTATATAGTGTATGTGCTGTTCTCAGGAAAGGTAGTTGAGGTGAGAGACAGCTACGCAAACCACACTGCACTTTCAGAAGCCCATTTCAGGGTCTATCTGTGAGTTGCTGTTCTGCTTTTCTGGGTCACAACCTTTAACATCATTCACACTCTCAGTACGGCGCTTATTATTCATGCTGAAGTTTACTCTTGAGCGTCCAGATTAAAAACCACACAGGAAGCTGAAACCTTTAGTTTTAAGTGTGTGTTTATATTTATGCGTGGATGTACCACCACGCCTTCTCTATCTCTTTCACGCACAAACCAGTTTAGTGTCATTTGTTTTCTGTCACCCTTTCTCCTGGTTTTAAAGTAGGGAGATTTTGTAATAATTTTTAATGTTGGTTGTTATTTTGGCATTCACTCATCCCTGAAGCCATCCCTCCATCTTTTGTTTGAGTTTTTGAAGAAAATAAACCTGCCATTTTCTGGTTTCAAGGGTGTCTAGTGTCTGGTCTAGCAGTAGGTCTGGGGAGAGAGCCCACTCTCATTTACATAATCAAATAAACATAATCTTAACATCATCTTAAAAAATCCTGTAGGACTCTGAAAAGATTTACAGTACACATACTTAAAATTTCCAAAAAAGTTGGGATGCTGTGCAAAATGTATATAAAAACAAAATGCAATGATATGCAAATCATTTAACCCCTATATTTCATTGAAAATAGTACAAAGATAACATATTAAATGTTAAAACTGAGAAATTTTATTGTTTATTTTTTTATTTATTTTTTTTTTTAAATATGCCCATTTGGAATTTGATGCCACACACCCAGTTCCAAAAGTTGCCGGGGCAACAAAAGACTGGTAAAGTTGGGTAATGCTAAAAAAAAAACACCAGTGGTTATTAACAACAGGTCAGTAACATGACTGAGTACAAAACAGCATCTCAGGGGGGATGCTGAGTTTGTCAGGAAGAAGTAAAGATGAGGAAGGGGTTTCACCACTCTGTGAAAGACTGCGCCAGCAAATAGTGCAACAATTGAAGAATCACGTTTCTCAACAGCAAAGAACTTTTACTTTTCATCATCTACGGTACATAATAATATTAAAAGATTCAGAGAATCTGGAGAAATCTCTGTATGCAAGGGACAAGGCCAAAAACCAGTATTTGCAGGCACTGCATTAAAAACAGACGATTCCGTAGTGGAAATCACTGCATGGGCTCAAACACTTCTGAAACCACTGTCTGTGAACCCAGTTTATCACTGCACCCACATATGCAAGTTAAAACTCAAAAACGCAAAGAAGAAATCATATATAAACAGAATCCAGAAACACCGCTGCCTTCTCTGGGCCCAAGATCATGTAAAATGGACTGAGGTGAGGTGGAAAAGTGTCCTGTGGTCCAACAAATCAAAATTGTGACATTCTTTTTAGAAATCATGGACACTCTGGGCTAAAGACCACTCAGCTTGTTATCAGTGCACAGTTTAAAAACTCTCTCAAAGGGGAGCATTAGTGCACATGGCATGGGTGATGGTGCACATCTATGAAGGCACCATTAATGCTGAACGATATGTATGCTACCATCCAGATGACGTCTTTTTTTCAGAGAAGGCCTTGATTATTTCAGCAATGCCAAACTGCATTCTGCATGTATTACAGCAGCCTGGCTCCATACTAAAAGAGTCTGGGTGCTAAACTGGCCTGCCTGCAGTCCAGATCTGTCACCACCGCATTATGTGCATTATGAAATGAAAAATACATGGAGTCTCACAGTGAGAGTGAGAGAGACTTTGTTGTTGTTTTTTTGTTATTTATCTGTTAATGTGTTTTAGGGCCTGTTTGAGTGATTTTGAGCGAAAGAGAGAACGTGGAGTGGATTTTTTGCATTACCCCCTCCAGCGCACTCTAAGCTCAGCAGCATGTACACACCACATAGCTAACCTTTAGCCTCAGTTTGATAAGTGTGACTGTATTTTGAGTAATTTTCACATGTATTTAGCTGTAAATGTCTGATTATCAGCACTAAACTCAGAATCTGAGTCAAGCTGAGGTCTGATTGAGAGACAAGGGAAAGTTCTATACTGAATACATTGGATTTAAATGGGGATTCAAATGGAGGTAAATGCAGGATGTGAACGGTGGTTTGCTGAACTGGATTACTGACTGGATCACTCACAGAAATCTCTACAGAATCACTCTGGACACACAGGGTAAGTCCTGATGGTCATTGTGATGTGTGAACTGTGTCACTGTTGTAAATGATTAAGAACTGTTTGTTTATGCTGAACTTAAACCTTTGGAATTCAGATTGTTTAAGGATTGGTTAATGAATGTTTTTTGGTAAACATTTATGAACATTTATGTGGTGTTTTTCTGGATCAGTTGCTTCTGAGTAGAAATGAAGAGTTGCTATCTGATGAAGAGGAGAATCCAAAAAACTGTTGTTATGATCAGAAAACAGTGTTTAGTACAAAATAATCACATTTTTGTTGATTTTCATTATTGTAATAATGGCACAAAATGCATAAGTTTTGATACAGAATCTCCAGTTCAGTTTCCGTCTATGACCCAAATTTGTTTAAGCATCAAAGTTTAAAGAATGGACACAGATATTGATGTTATTTATACATACATACACACACTTTTTTACAACAGATAGGTTTGAAATGCCCCTTAGTATAAAACACCATTTGAAGTAAAACCAAGTTACGCTACTGCTAGAGAAACTTTGAATGTACAGTTCAAATTCTCAGTATGTTCTGCTTGTTTTGTGGCTGAACATTTTCCACCTTTACTAATAAGTTACGAATGTATTACTTAAAACTCATCTCACAGATCCACCCTTCTTTGTGAGAGCATGGCATGTCGTTCCAGATCTTCATGTCCGGGAAACCCTGCATATCAGCACAGTCCTCATTATTCCGATGATTATTTGGTTCTCCTTCCTTCCAGAACCTGAAAGCCAGAGATTCAGAATCAGTCTCTGATCAGTGTTCATTAACCCTCAGCTTAACTCTCTCAGCCTGTGTTCAGTCACATTCATACAGTTTAACCCTAACCCTGCATAATCAGTTACTTCAGAAGGTGAAAAAAAAATCCCAGTTCATCTGTTTCTTACGCAGTGGTCAGTGCTGATCCGTCCACCCATTTCCAGACTCCCTCCATGTCAATGTCAGTCAGACCAATCCAAACTCGACTGCCGCCCAGATTGTTAATGAGGAACACCTGCCATTGAGAGAGCATAATGTGTAAAGAACAGTCTCTCTCTCTCTCTCTCTCTCTCTCTCTCTCTCTCTCTCTCTCTCTCTCTCTCTCTCTCTCACCTGTTCTTCTCTGCTGTTTATGATCACCAGGTCTGCTCCTCTCTCTCTGCAGAACTGTCTGCTCTCACTCCAGCTCTTCTCTCCAGTAGAATTGTAGTAAAGACTGGTGTTGAAAAACACCCAACCCTGCTGCATTGCCTTCACTATGAATTGAACACACACATATGCACAGTCAGACACTCTATAACAGCAAGAATAGGTTGTGGCTCAACACTTTACAAAAAAACATATCAGCATATAATCTAGCATCTTGAGAACAATGGGCCTCATTCTCCAAACGTGCTTAAGAAGAAGGTATTGAACCCTTTATGGTGCGTAATATCATCAAAAGATTAAAATAATCCAGAGAACTCTGTGTGTACAGAGCAAGGCTGCGTCCACACACACAAGTTAAGTGCTTGTCTTCTAATTGAAATATAGTCTTTCTGCTGGTTAAGGTAGGCTCAGAGTTGAGACTTTCTCTATCTTAGACTCTATTAGTTACAAGGCTGTCTTGTAGAACCTAGTGCTTAATTGTAACAACTAGCTTAACTCTGTCCCTTTTCACTAGGTGTCAATGACCTTCTGATTCTAGCAGTATCTAAGCTTAGAACTGTCTTTCTCTCTAACCTATTGGTAGCTAGCAAAGATTCTTTCTCTGGATAGACAAAGCACTTTTTGTAAGTCGCTCTGGATAAGAGCGTCTGCTAAATGATGTAAATGTAAATTAAGACTGTACAATGGACAGTGGAAGCTATATGACAACAACCAAAAACACTGCTAGCTTGTTTGGGTTCAAGCTCATCTGAATGGACTGCTGCACAGTGGAACAAGTCACTATTTTAGATGTTTATAGGGACGTCATGTTCTTCGGGTCAAAGAAGGACACGGTCTATCCAGATTGTTACCAGCATAAAGTTCAAAAGCCAAGGTCTGTCATGGTATTTGGGTTAAAAAAAGCAAGAAGTTCATAAGGTAGAACATCAACTATTGTGCATTTGTACTGTTTTCCAATTAACACAGGTTTTCTGGAACTGGAGGCTTGTAAGTAAACACTAATCAAAGATACGTTTCCAAGTAAACACTTTTGTATGTCATTCTGGAAAATGATCTTAAAATTCAAACACTAAGTACACATGAGTGATAAAGATCAACACTGCATGCTTACACAATGTGATACTGTGATACTATGCCATTGCCACAGCATTGTCCCTTAAGAGCAGTAGGCCTCATTCACCAACCATCCTTAAGAAGAATTTTTTTCTTAAAACAGTTTTTACAAAGATTCTGACTTTCATCAGTGTTTTCTTATGTGGGATTTGTTCCTAGGTAAGAACAGAATCTACACACACTCAAGAGCACAAAGGTACAAACAATTCTGTGGTTTAAGAACACGTCATGAATCAGACATATGCTTGTTCTCAGGACCTTTTTCAAGAACAAATGTAAGAAAAAACTTGGTGAATAAGGCCCGATATCCCTCATCTATGTTTGGCAGCTCCACGCAGCTCCCTGGCTAAGCTAAACCGCCTGGGGACAGCAGGGGGTGATGGATTCTACCACGCATTTAGTCTGACTGCAGGCTGAATAAACAATCAAACTTACTGACTTTGTACTGACTGTACAGAATGGCACAGACAGTTGAATTAGACAAGATAAATGTTAACACAGACTACTTCACACTAATGCAACAGAGTTTAGACCATTACAGAGCTCAGCAAAGGTTTATGGGTATGCAAATAAACTTAATACGTCAACATCCAGCGCAGTTACCTCAATACTTTCAATGCAGATTTGGTCAATAACTAAACATCAAACAGTTCCTCAGCAATTTGTCTGGATTAATAATAATGCTATAAAGTGTATGAGTTTTCATTATTAGGAATGAGGAAATCTCCGTGGGAGAAGATGGTTTTCCCAAACTGAAGCAGACGTATCACAGTGTAAAACTGAGTTTTCATTGAATCCTTTCAGATTTAAACATCTCTGCTTACCTAAATAAGAAAGTTTCAACTGAAGGCCATCCCTGTCCATGACCAAGCGGTCTTTGTTAGCAGACAGTTCTTTGTAACTGGTCAGTAACTGGTTTTTTTCTACAGTCAGGTCGGTGTAACTGGTCAGTAACTGGTCTCTTTCTACAGTCAGGTTGGTGTAACTGGTCTGTAACTGGTCTCTCTCAGCAGTGAACTTAATCCACAGCACTGTGATGGCAGCCAGAAGGAGAACACACAGCAGCCCCAGACACACTGCAGTCAGTCTGTAGCATCTGCTCCCTGCAGTGTTCATTCCTGAAACTACAAATATATACTAAATATCTAAGATTGTATACACTTTAAAATGAATGGTAACGTTGATTTAGAGCCTTCATAAAATGTAATGATAAGAGAAACCATTAGCTATAACCATGAGGGTGTGTGTACCTGATGTCATAGTTCCTTTATGGCTTCTGGTCACGTTAGTTTCCAGGACGTCTTCGTTCACATAGATATCTTCATATGAACAATTGCTTTCGTTCGAATCAGTTGATCTGTTATCTGCTGTATTTCCTGAATTTGCATATATATCCTCAGTCATCTCTGGTTCTGTTTTCTTCTGTTATGATGCTGGAAAAACGAAGCAGATTTGAGCCTTGATTATAATTTTAACCAATTATAACTGATGTGCAGTCTCCACCACAGTCTCCAGCTCTCACAGTGACTCTGTGTCCGTGGTATTGTACCATATATGTGCTGCTCTCAGGACAGGAAGTTGAGGTGAGAGCCAGCTTATACAAACCACACCACACTTTCAGAAGCCCATCTCTACATCTGCTCTCTTTGGTGTCCACACAGATACAATTTGTTGACACCAGAATACATTCTCTACATGTTCTCTATGGAAGAAGTTTGCATATGGCGCCTCTTTAAGACTTCAGGGTCTGTTTGTGATTTTGTGGGTTTCTCTTTGTATTATTTTCCTGCATTTCTGGGTCACAACCATTTGAGACATTTATCACTGAGCTGCTCTGGGTGACTGTGAGTGTCCTCATTAAAAGCCACACTGAACAGGAAGTGGAAACTCATTGAAAGTATCAGAGCGGTGTATGTAGGTTACGTTTGTGTGTTTGTGTGTGTGCGTGTGTGCGTGTGTGTGTGTGTGTGTGTACCCTCTCTCTAGCGCTTACACAAACCAGTCTGTTTTCATTAAGCTGAGATGGAACACCTAAAGTATGTGATCATAAGTAAACAATCTTCATTATTATTGCCTGTTATTGCCTCTCCCAAATGACTGATATGCAGCTCGGCAATTATATAGTTTTTCTGTGAATTGAAATGGTGTGTTCGTATTGTACCTTTAGCATGCATGAATGTCATACAGAATGATGGGTAGGAACAGCACATTGAGTGCAGGATTGTTTTATTTCATGCACAAATGTGTGAGGTGTCCAAAAAACTATTTACGAACAGTATTTACAACATCATACTCTGTATGAGTCGTCATCATGATTATCATTATTAACTTAGTCCAGATAGGGTCACAGTCTGTATGAAACAGAACGGTTTTTATTCATTTTACCCCTTTGTTTACTAAAAGGTAATTCTTAGTAGCCTTTGTGGCAGGATGAAGTATTTGGATGCCTTTTATTATGATGGTGTAATATTCCTTTGGAGGCTTTTATTGTGGTAGTCTTCCCATTTCCTGTAGTTCTTCCCCTATTAGTTGGTCACAGGTGTCTGAGTCCTCAAATTGCATTTCTTTGTTGGCCTTTGGTGCTGTTTGTTGTGGCCTGCTAAGACAGCAGCTGGATCTCTCAGCATTTTTGTTGGTGCTGTGGACAGCCTAAGTCATTGAGTAGTGAGGTGTTACTCCTTCCCTCGTTATTGGTTAGGCCCTAATCTTATCCTACAAGAGGTAAAGCTCCTAATCTTCCCCCACAGGCAGCCACCAACACTTGAGCCCTGCCCTTAGCTAATGTTGGTTAGTGTAGTTTATTTCTTTGTTTTAATAAAGGAATAAAGTTGATTCTACTTTTTTTTATAAGGTTATACCTTTCCATGTTTGATGTTTAAAGCAAGACATTGTGTTGTGAAAAGATTAAGCTTGAAGAAAGACTATCTTATGTCCTTTGGTTTAAATAATAATACTGCTATACAGCATAACCATGCAGGCCTTCACCACAAAGCAGCCAACTAATCTAGGGTCAGGTATAGGCCCACTGGAACTAATAGCTCTCAGGATAAGATTAGGGCCCAACAAAGAGGAAAGGAGTAACACCTTTGTGTTCAGCTGTCAAACCTCTTGTACCACCTTACCAAACCAAAGAATGACTGGACTTTTTCAGCTATCTTAAATGGCCTTTACCTTGTCAACTTGAGGTCTGACCAATCCTCTACCCAATGTTCAATTCATGAGATGTGAGCCCAGGTTCCCTGTCTCCTGGTTGCCTCACTCCCACTTCAGTTCTTTGGAGAACTTTTTCTGCAAATTGCTTTATGCAATCTTTCCAGGTAGTACTCATTACATCATCCAAATAGTACTCCACTGAACCCTGCTAGACTTTGTCCATCAGCTGCTGGAATGTTGAAGGAGCTCCATGTATGGCATGACAGTAAAGCAGCAAAGTCCAGAGGGGATAGCGAAGGTGGTGTAGTCATTGAAACTGCTAATGGCACCTGCAAGTGGCGTTGCATAGTCAAGACCGCTACAGGCGAGTCTGATCCAAGACCAAGCCCTGAACACATCGAGTCTGAGACAAGATTAAGACTTTGTTTTGTGGTGGAGTCCGAGTCAAGCCTGAGCCCAGGAGTGGTGAGACCAAGACAAGATCAAGACCAGCAAAAGATTTGTTCAAAATATAAAAATAAAAATAAGAGAGGGTGAAAAAACCTGGAAGTTCATCATAACTCATCATAATTGTAATTCACTATTGTTACGTGCCTGTGATGCACATATGTGTTTTGTTTTTCTTTCTCTCTTTCTTGCTGGTTCCATTCTACCCCCTATTTGTTTTGGATTTCTCTCTCTCTCTCTCTCTCTCTCTCTCTCTCTCTCTCTCTCTCTCTCTCTCTGTCTCTCTCTTCACCCAACCAGATCACTGTACAGGTGTGCAATAGACCAATGAGGACATTGCTGATGCTTGGCTGCACTCTTCTCTCCACAAATCAGGATGTCTGCTGTCTGTTGAGGGGCGGGTCTTGGCAGATAAAAGGACTCACCTGAAAGCAGTCGTGTATGGGGAGCATTTAGTGTGCTTGTGACTTATGGTGCTGGCAGTATCAAGCTGTGCTACTTTTAGCTGTGAATATGCAGGTTCTCCTGTGCTCCCTCTCTAGTTCTCCCTTTCTCTCTCTTTCTCTCCCCAGTGCGATGTGTGGACAGGCAATTTGGGCGCACCTATACATACACAGTAGTTATTTGATTGTTTAGACACATCAGGTAAGGGGCGAGTGCAACCCGCTGTATTTTGGTGAGGAGTAGACCTGGCTGGGCCGATTAGACTTTGGTTCATTTATTTCATTCCTTTGGCACCGTCCTCCGTCCACCTTCAGTTGGGTTCTACTAGTCAATGTTTTTGCGTAACCAGTGGTTAGTCAACTCTTTTCTTTTAACTCTGTACTCATTCTCAGCTCAGTTTATTGTATCATGGTTTTTGCTCTTACATTGTAAATATTATTCTTGTATCATACACTTTTTTGCAAGTGGGAAGCAAAGTAAAGAAAAAAAAATTGACAAATTACTGTGTCCTTGTGTCCTTCCCTTCCGTCTCCCATCACATGCCATATTATTTCCTTTCTACCCCAAACTACATCTGAGGGGAACGTAACAGCTATACACTGTAAAAAAACAGATGTGTTAAGAAAAACAACACATTCTGTCTAGACTAGACACATCAGTGTGTTCAGCTGGAGACAACACATTTTCTGAAACCACCTAAAGCCAATATAAACCAAATAATACATCCCCTTTTATTATTAATAAAAGTATTAAAATCATTATTATTTTCCCCTTTAGGGGATGTTTGAATTTTGGAACCAGTGAACATTAAGAAACAAATAATACCCAGTTAAGCCATCATGGAAAGGATCAATTAGATCCTCAAACATGGCACTAGGCTGGTCTCAATTACCTTGAGACCAAAACAAGACCAAATGACATTGAGATCTAGATACACTATATAGACAAAAGTATTGGGACACCCCTCCTAATTATTGAGTTTAGGTGTTTCAGTCACATTCATTGCTAATAGGTGGATAAAATTAAGCACATAGCCTTGCAGTCTCAATAGATAAGCACTAGCAGTAGAATGAGTTGTACTGATGAGCTCAGTGACATTAAACATGGCTCTGTCAAAGGATGCCACCTCTTTCACAAGTCAGTTTGTGAAATTTCTCTCCTGCTAGATCTGCCCCTGTTAACTGTGAGTGCTATTACTGTGAAATGGAAGTGTTTAGGAGCAACAACAAGCCATGAAGTGATAGACCACACAAACTCACATGGTGGAGCCACAGAGTGCTGAAGTACACAGTGCCTATCCTTTGTTGAATCACTCACTAAAGAGTTCCAAATTGCCTCTGGAAGCAACATCAGCAAAAGAACTGCACATTAGGAGATTGACACCTGTGATATGGTTCTATATGATTTAGTTTTAAAACATGCAAGGCCTTGGTGTACTTGCACATCAAAATCTTATCCAAAACCTCATAAAGCAGATGTTCAGTATTAGTGTAGAAATACTGTTTTTTTTTAAAGACTGATTTAAACTAAAAAACATTCAGACAGAAAATAAATAAATAAAATTACATTTATCTGACACAATACAACTTGAGTGGAAAAAAACAAAATTGAACTTAGTTTTGCTCATTCATCAGCTGCACTAGTGTGTAGAACTCTTCTGTTTGTCTGGTGTGAAAACAGCTCCTCTGTGGTGCCCGTCTAGGCAAATTTGGAGAATAAAACTGAAATATTTGGTGTTTCACACTGAAATTCTGATAGCGCTGACATCATACAGAAATCTCTCAAGCTGTCCCGAAGGTTAAGTCTCCACTTTATTTCTTTTTGCTGGACTCACCATGCTGCATTTGAGGCTACTTCAGTTTCCTGGCCTTTCCAGTC